AGAAATGTTTTTTTTCGGCAAAACCTATGAATGCTACAAAATTTTACAGAGTTCAAACATAAAAAAAAAATAGTGCACCAACTTAAAAAAATGTTGTTGATTCTACGGGCCAAATGAAAAGTTCTATTAGTTTTTGTACCAAGAATTTCACTCAAGAATTCCTCATTTGCCGAAAGCGGATGGACTCGGTTGCTTCATCAAAACACACGTAGCAATAAATTCACAGCGAGTTTGATTAAAATCTATAGGACCATTCTTCCGATATTTCTATACTATATGTATGCATTAAGAATATGGCTTTTCCACATGAACATCGTTCTCATTCATTGGAAAAATAATATTTCTCGTTAATTCATATGTTGACAGCTAAATTTCTATTAGCTATTTACAAAAATTGACTTTTTGATCAATGTCGCCTTCCAATAATTTATGTATGAATTCAATATCATAATGGTGACATATAATAGATTACCTATTTTTGATACTTACCTTAACGATTGACTAACTTCTAACAATTGTGGTAATGGACATTAAAGAGTTATTGTGTGCTTCATGCAAATAGTTCAATTTAGATTCTTCAGGCAATTGCTTTGGCTTCCTGTTAAGCAAATGCCTTATATGACTGTGTTCTTGTTAAATCTAACTAAAAGTATATTTAGTAATTGGAGGCTCATGAAGATAGATTGCGTTAAAGGATTGCATTTCATCTTTTGTACGCGTTACCAAAAACCGAAGTTCAATACGTTCCTTAGCCGACAACGAAACTAATTTATTGCCACAATATGGGCATTTCGAAACATTATCTAAGGTGTTCCGAGCGTGTCCTTAATAGTTATCCCCTAATTTTTAAATTAATTTATTTCTTTTATCGTGAATTCATTATGTGCCCGCTGTCTCGAACTATACAATGTTTAAGTATGCCTAGAGGCTTGCATATTTGCTATGCTGCAATACAATTATTTATGAATAAGATCTAAATATCAGTGTAAGATCGCGACAGGAATAATTAAATTTTATACTTAGATTAATTACAGTAGTTAACAACAAGGTGCTACTAGATGTACCTAAGTGGTACCAAATACCAAATATGGAGAAGGAGCGACTTTGATAGTTTGTACGAGTATATTAAACATTTATTGGCACCAAACCTGAGAATGAATGTGAAACGAAAAAATGACAACACAAAACAACGTGCGGTATGGACGATTTTCTCTGGTGTGCAACATTTCTTTTTAATGAATGGAACAGGCAAATGCGCTGCAAGCAAATTAAACGTGGCGAAAGTTAAAATAGCAAAATAAACATTGAGGGAGAGAACAACACAAAATAACTTATAATGTAGAAAACAGAGAAAAAGCTTGTTTCCTTTTGAATTATTGCAAAAGAACTCTCCATCAGCTG